AGGCGCCCTCCCAGCCTCCCTCGGGGCCTGCCTTTCCCACAGGTGGGCGGGAATGGGCGGGGCCTGCGCACCCAGCGGAGCCTGGGAAGATCCCGCGCCGCGGAACCTCCCTAAGAATTCACTGCCTCCGGGAAGACTTCCTGGATTACTCCCCTTTCCCACTCCCTGTGGACCTTGACCCTGCTCAGTGCACCGTGAAGTCCTCCGCGCCCCTCAGTGGGCGTGCACCCCTACCCCCCAAGGCCGGCCCCCAGGAACAGGGCCAGCAGGGCCTCGGGTTACCTGCGCTCAGGAGACCCTGCTTCCTGGTTCCTTTGTCTCCAGCGGGCACCTGGGAAGGCCTGCCCCGGAGATCCCAATACTGTAATCCAGCCTGGCAGGGGCTGCAGCAGTGCCTCCCAGCAGTGTAAACACTCAAATCCGCGTGCCAGAGATGGCAGGAATGTCCTTCAGGCTCTTACCCCCGTACTCCCATCAGAAACCAGGCCAAGAGCACGCCTCTGCCAAGGTGAAGGGGTCCAGGTGGCACCCCACAGTCCCTTGAGCATTCCTCAGACTGTCTTCTATCCAGGTGCCCACTTCTAATGTGTCCAGCGGAGCCTGCCAAAACTATTGCCCTTCAGAGTCACCTGGCCACCACACCTGGAATTACAGCCCTAGGTGGTTGGAAAGTTCACCACCAAGCCAGTCCACACTGCCTTTGTGAAATTCCACTCTCTCAGCGCCTGCTCTGAGGTGTGGAGAAAAGCACTTTATCACCTACCTCTCTTGGCCAATCTGTCCCGTAGGGCGCAACAGAAGTGCAGGATCAGCAAGTTCAGACCTAGAGAGAGTGAGGACCTCCTTACTTTGGTGCCCTGGGTGCCTGCCTCTCATGCCTCACCCTGCTCCCTGTTCAGCCTCCACTCCCAGTATACACCAACCTGGCTACCCCTCAGATCAGAAATCCCCCTCCCACCCTAATCATGACCCCCTTCTCTCACCATCCCTCGTACAGTATAGGAAGCAGCTAAGCAGCTGAGGATGGAGGCTGAGTGGCCTGAAGCTTGGAACCAGTGGGAAGGCCTGGGCAGGATTTGGGAGGAAAAACTGACAAAACTTCATACAGATGGAGTTCAGGGGGTAGGGGCAAAGAAGGATCTGGGTTGAGGCAACAGGGTGGGCATGACACATTTAACATGACAGGGGGAGACTGTTTGGGGGAAAAGGGCTGTAAACTGTAAACTTTGGAGAAGACCAGAGAAAGGTATCTCTCACATACTGGAGAAGGAAGGAGGGAGAGAGGGAGGGAGGGAGAAGAAGAGAGACTGAGCATCATCAGCATTCAAGGATAGTGTGGGTGGGGCCCAGCAACGAGCTAGGATAACAGCGCCTCAGAAGCCTGGGAGACAGTGTAGGAGCAGGAGGAAGGCCAGAAGGCAAGCCCTGCGGAACAAGATGGGGGCTTTCAAGAATGTGGGTGCAATTCTGGTGTTAAAAACGGGCCAGGTAGAATTGGGATTGGAGAGTGCGCCCTGGATTTCACTGATGTCTATGAGAGAATGGTTTCAGAAAGGTAGTGCAAGGCAAAGCCAGGAGTAGAGGGGTCTGGAGGGAGAGACAGGAGGTTCCCTACTAAAAGAAGGCCAAAGAAGGCAGTCATTTAAGTGATTTGGGGTCCAAGGGCTTTTTTTCTAATTTTAAAATTAAACATGGTAGAAACGTGAGTGTGTTGATATGCTGAAGGAAGTGAGACTGGAGATATAGGCAAGGGGGCTGCACCAGAGGCCTGGGTGTGAGCATGAGCAAACCTCAGAAGTAATCATGTTGATCACGAGAGTGACAGGGATAGTAATGCTTGGGAAGGTGCTTTGTAAACTGTAAGGTGCAATACAAGCATGCAGTACTACTACCTTCTCTGAGATCCAGGAAACAAGATTCTGACCATAGGTTGGGGCTGGTCATATGCCACTCTGCCCCACCATTTCCCTAGAGTGTATGATCCCTAGCCAGACTCAGATACGCAGGGTCTTGGGTGGAAATGGGGTCCCAGGACTGTCTCCTAAGCCTTTTTTAAAAAAATATTTTTATTGATTTCAGAGAGGAGGGGAGAGGGAGAGAGAGATAGAAACATCAATGATGAGAGAGAATCATTGATTGGCTGCCTCCTGCATGCCCCCTACTGGGGGTCGAGCCCGCAACCCAGGCATATGCCCTTGATCAGAATTGAACCCAGGACCCTTCAGTCCACAGGCCGAGGCTCTATCCACTGAGCCAAATCAGCCAGAGCTCCTAAGCCTCTTATACTGGTGCTTTACCTGGGAATCCTTTACTGCCAACCCAAAGCAATTCTCCCTCAAGCCTCATTCCCCAAAGAGTTTCTTGGCATAATTCTAATTTGTCATGGGTAACCCCATGCAAGCATTCTGTCTCTTGCCTATTCCAAGCCTGTTTCCTCAGAACCCCAGCAAGGAGCTGGCAAGATAAGGAGGGGCATATGCTTCCCTGATAGGCAGAAACTGAGTTGAGCTTTGCTATGGGTCAGAGTCCTGAACTGGCCCCAATAGCTGAGTATGGTCTGCAATGGCAGCCTTATGGCATCAGCTCAACACCCTGGATGACAGCCTGTTGCTTGACTCTACCTCTATCTCTGTCCCGTCAACCTTCAGTGCCTGGGAAATTACTTACAGTATTAGCAGTCACAAAGAGCCCAAGTGGATTCTCCATGTGGGTTACATGGGCAGGTCCCTCCAACCCAGTTATCACTGTCCCTCCCTACCAGTGTCCCTCCCAAAACTAGGAACAGTCCACCTTCTCTTGGAGTCTCAGAGGTCCCAAGCTCGGCCCATTCACCTCCTAAAGATCTCAGCAGCCCCTCCTGCCAGTACCTTTGCAGGGGGCTCTTCATTGGCCTTTCTTCCTCTGCACTCCCTCTCCTGCACAGCTGTCAGGGAAATCTTTCCAAAGGGCAAAGCTGATCTCGTCCCTGCTCTGCCCAAATTCTTCCATGAGCAGCACCAAGCGCAGTAGACTAGACAGAGTTCTGGAGGCATCAGCTCCAAATATAAATTAGGGGTGGAACTGTGTGCAGCGTATTTCACCTCAGATTCTCACACCTACCTTACAGGAATCTTAAGAAGTATATGTATTGTGGGTGAAATGCCTGGCATTCCTCTCAGCCCCCAGAACCAGAGCAGAGCTTGCAGCAGGGCCCCCAAGGCCTCTCCCACTGCACATCCTATTTCCCCTGATCTGAGCCCCTTTCCACTCCACAGTCTCTTCCCAGATCTCTGAACCCATCCTGCATCCTTCAAGGCCCAATCCAAATGCTGCCTCCCAGGACAGCATCCTGATTGCCATGGCAGGAAGGGGTCTTAGAGCTCTTGGCTCAGGCTACTTAATGGAGATTTCATTCTGAGGCTTCCCCAGTGCTGGCCTGTGGGTGCCCACGGGGCACAGATTGCAAAGTCCTGGGGGTCCCTGGGCTCTGGCACTGAGGAGATGCAGAGAGAATATGTGTGGGATTGCTAGTGATGAGCAATGCAAAGAGGCAATGAATCCAGACAGGAAAATCAGGAAGGTCTTCTGGGAAGGACTAAGGGAGAAAAGAGATCGGGGGCACTGTAAATCTTTTGGGGGTGCAGAGGTCTCCAGAACTTCTTGGTTGGGATGTGTGAGGGGAGATCCATCTTCCCTTGGCGACAACGGGTGAAGGTGGTCCATCCCATAGGTCCTGGGTCTGATGTAGCCCGTGGTTTCAGGACTGTGGGGGCTGACAGCAATTCTCTGCCTCCCCCCCCATCACACACACGCGCACACACACGAGTCTCCGCGCGGAGGGGTGGGGGTGTTCGCCATTCACCTACAGCCTACAGTCCCGCAGCGCCACAGAGACCCCGGCCACAGGCCGTCCCGAGAAGGTGCCCAGGGGGTCTCTGCGGAGGGGGAAATCCCGGCCTCCTTCCCCGCGCTCCCCACCAACGCGTGTGGCCCCGGGGGGCGGGGCGCAGAGGGAGAGGTGACATAATCCGGGCCGCACCCCCTCCGGCCTCCACTGCTCCCCAGGCCCGACGAAGCATCCGTGACATCATCGGCCTCATCTTCACTCCCCTCCCCCCTGGACCCCAGCAGCGGGACGCGCCCCCTCCCCGGCTCCGGGTCCCGCCGGAGGAGTCTCGCGGTGCAGAGGGCACGGGGAGAGGCTG